GTTGCACACCCTCATAACTCCTTCTGGAGAAGGAATTTCAAAACAAGGCTTGCAGTATTTGGTGACCCATTTGCTGTATGGACCGAAGGAGAAGGAAGAATCAAAAATGCTTCTGTGGTTTGGGTCTGAGGGACTAACAGGAGATAAGTATGAGACAACAGAGTATTGCTAAGGACTATAAAAAAGAAGAGGAAAGATTTTTTTTTTCAATGCTTCTTTGGAGGACAAAAAAAAAAAAAAAAAAACAGTCAATGTCCCCAAATTACCAAGAGACAGATTCAACCATATATAACAAACCACTTTACACAAAAGAGCTCTCCAGAAATGAAAAAAGCTGCCATGTAAAGAGGTTAAGACCTTCATTTCTGGGGGCATTCTGGCTGAGGGCAGATTACCCAGTATTAAGAAGATGGCCCTCCTGTGTTGAGTTGAATTACGCTGTGTTGAGTTTGTTCCCCATGTGGGGGTAAACTAAGGATAATTGAAACAGAGGATTGGAATTCATAAAGAAGAAATGTAAAAGAAGATCAGAAACAAGCAATGAGCTTTAGTGCTGAGAGGAAAAAGAAAAAAGAGCCATAGGGAGAGAAAGAAATGATGTAATTAATAAGTAAACACCAAAGGAAAAAAATCACAGAATCATGGATGACAACAGAGAACTAAGGAAGGATTGGCCTATAGTCAAGAACCACACAGAGCATAAGTAGATTAAGGCCTAGAAAGAGTACTTTATAAAACTATTTAAGGGTCTCAAAACATCACTTTGGTGTTTCAGATATTTTAATTTTATGGAGACAATTATATACAAGAGAGGTCCTCAAAAAGGTGGGTTTTTTTTTTTTTTTCAAACTCTCAGGATACCTCCCTTAAAGCTATCAAGCTTTTACTTACTGGAGGAGGTGAAGATATTGATATAGAAGAAAACCCTCTCAGGAAAGAGGAAGGGCTAGTCTTTAGTTCAAAGGAGGAAGAGTATTTTAGAATCTGTAAAGAAGAACAAAAGATGTGTCTTAGTCTGATTTCCCCAGAGAGATGAACATGAGAAAAATATACATCTGCAAATGTTTTGCCGGGGATGGTGATCCCAAGAAGCAGCAGTAGAAGAAGAGTAAAGCACTGGGAAGTTCTCTTGCATTGTTTGCCCACACAAGCTACCTAAGAGGCCATGGGACACGCGTCTCACACCACACTGTGAGTAAGCAGGCAGGGTATGTCTATCAGCTGGCATCCTCCCTTGGTCAGAGAATACTCCATGAGGCATTCACTCCCCGGCACTTCTAGGTTGTGTTTATGAGGATGCCAGGGGTCGTCCGCCCAGTCCTGAGCCATAGTGCAAACAGAGAAGCCTTATAGAAGGCAAGAGGTGCTTGCAGGTCGCCTTCATGTGCAACTGGTTGGACCCATGGCCACACCGCTTACCATCGTGGTTACTGGAGCATAAAACAAGTATGGCTGAAAGAATCCAAAGTGGTATGTAACAGGTGCTCCAAAACGTTTGTAGTTTAAGATGTGTGTTTTTTGGGACGCCTGGGTGGCTCAGTTTGTTAAGCAGCTGCCTTCCGCCCCGGGTTGTGATCCCAGGGTCCTGGGATCGATTCCCACATCTAGCTCCTGGCTCAGCAGAGAGCTTGCTTCTCCCTCCCACTCTGCCTGCTGCTCTCCCTACTTCTACTCTCCCTCTCTGTTAAATGAATAAATAAAACCTTTTAAAAAAATTCTTAAAGACGTGTGTTTTTGTGAGCAGGGTGATGAGAAAACCCAGACCAGCTGACTGGTTCCTCTCAGGAAAATAAGATGCAAGCACCCCTTACAAGAACAAGGGTGCTGTGGTTGAAATGAGCGTTCAGTTCCAGTAGAGGAGGGTCATCAAAGAAAGCCATTGGGCAAGAGCAGACGGGAAGGATGACCAGTTGGTGGCAGGGGTCCATTTGAAGTGAGCATTATGAACTTCTGGCTCTTCACATTTTCTCCATGAGTACCTGCACCCTCCAGTAGGAGCTGAGAAGGCAGACTGGGGTGGGGGTGGGGGGGAGGTGGCAATCCAGGGCTGGATGGTATGGCGTGTGCATCCTCCTGGGTGGGGTGTCATCAGCATGGTGGGGAGGGCAGCATGGAAACAGCTGATCAAAGTCAAGAGTGGGTGGAGTAGATAAAGTGAAACCCGCACAGATGTTTCCATGAGGGTAAAGCAGAGCAGGAGTGAGGGAAAGAAAGAACACAAAGGCAACAGTGGCAGCTTGAACGTGGAACAGGGTCACATGCCGATGACAAATCAACACATGTTGATTTGGAGGTGGTTACACCTCCAAACAGAAGACACCAGTATCTTCTGTTAGCATTTACATCATCCTGGGCAACTTCAGGATTCATCTCAGGTCCTCCCTTTCCATCCCAGCTCCTTCTGTTAGCAAGTGGTAATAAAGACTTTGGATGATAATACCTGGAGAAAGGCTATTGGAAAGAGTGGTGTTTGAGGCTTTGCTTTAAAAGAGTTTGGGTAACCAATATGTTAATTAACAATCAAAGCAGTTGCTAAAGTTTGAAGACAAAGCACAATTTGCCTCTATGCAGAATTATAATTGGCTTTATTTCTGCAGGATAAGTTGGAGAGGTGTGTATCAGTATGCACTGAGTATTATCTGCATGTGCTCTCAGGAGTCTGCATTGTTCTCGTGGAAAAGAAAAAAGAAGAGAAGAGAGGAGAGGAGAGGAGAGGAGAGGAGAGAAGAGAAGAGAAGAGAAAAGAAGAGAAGAGAAGAGGAGAGGTGGGGAGGGGAGGGAAGGGAAGGGGGGAAGGGGGGAAGGAAAGGAAAGAGAAGAGAAGAGAAGAAAAAAGAAAAGAAAAGAAAAAAGAAAAGAAAAGAAAAAGCTTCAGGTAGTTTCTCTTGGCCATAAAATAAAATGTCTGCGAGCAGACATAAAATGTCTGTCTCTTTCTCCAGCAGACAGGGCAGTACAGAGCTGCTGTGGTGATGTAGCAATGTCCTCAAGGTACTGGGCTGCTCCACATTCCTGCAATCTCTGTGTTCACACAGGAAGAAGCAGCAGAGGAGGCAGTGCTAGCAAACCGCCACTCAGCTGGTATTGGCCAGAACTTGTCCCTGGCATGTCATTCAGGGTTCAGGCTGGTTGCAGAGGACGGAGTCCACTCTAACTGATCTAAATGAAAGGAGTTTCTGAAGACATACAGAGAGTTCTTGAATCATGGAGAGGGCTGAACAGACTGTAGGCTGAGCTCAGAAAGTCCCCGGGGGATTGAGCTATGGAGGGAGCTGCTGTCTCTTCCACAGTCAGGAAGTTGCTGAAGTAAGAGGCCACCTTCTCCAGCTGGAAGCCAGGACCACAGACCTCAGCTCCAAGCCATGACACATCTGCTATGACCAGGAAGCAAGTCGACCAGAAAGCTGTGCCCCCACAGTGTTGCTCCCAGATGAGGCCAGTTCTGCCGAGGCCCGTGCCCACAAGAGAGATGTCCAGAACTCTCTTCTCGCTCCCCACCAAATTCAATTCCTAAACAAAACACCGTGGTCCTCTCTCCATGTGACTTAGTTCCAGATCAAGGAGACGTGATCAGTCAAACTTAAATCCTGTCTGGAGCCGCAGCTGCAATGGTAGTTGTAGACTCTGTAAGTTGGGTATTTTAGTGGAAGCAGGCCCTGGAATAAAAGTTCAGTGTGTCAAACTCCTGTACTAGCCACTGTCGCTCTGGAAATTTGGGACGGCTGGCGAATGCTTGGTCAGCTTTCCCTTCCTCCATTCTCAGGGGGTCTGCCCACACAGGTCATCTCATTGAATCCCTACCTCAACCTTTCAGTGAAGTATTGCTATCCTGCTTATGGATTAGGAAATCAAGGCTCATGAATGTTGAATAATAATGTTCAAAAAGGTAGTAGAATCAAGATTTGAGCCAAAGTCCATGTTCCGCTATTCTCATATGGTAGCATTTACGTTTGCTTTGCCAAAACTAACCACTGGGAATAGTGGATTTTCTCTATTCTCAATTCCCTTGCTCCTGACTGTGGTTCACTGGCTTTCAAGAGCTGAATAGGCTTAGTACTCTGACATCTCCAAACCTTTGCTCTAGCAACATTCTTAATTGCTTGAGTTGCTTTGTCCTGTGGACCATCTAAGACCTCAGATGACCTGGGTGTCAAGACTGAATGGGGTGAGAAAGGAGGATGGCTTCGTCCATCAGCTCACATTCTCTATTGGCCAAAGACTCACCCCATGAGACATTATTGCCCTTTTCCCTTACATCTCACCACTCCAGATCAGATGCTACCCCTCCCTCTACAAAGACGTGTCCAATCTTCCCGCCAACATGTAGCTCTACCCTTCCTGCGACTCCTGTGTGTTTTCTTTGTACTTCCCTTCAAACATTTCTCATCATCAACTGAGATAAATACCCCTTCCATATTATAGCTTGAAGATAAGAACTATGACATTAATTCCTTTTGTCCCTTACAGCTCTTGGCACAGCACATGCATGTGGTAAGGGTTCCCTAGGTGAATAATAAATAAACAGAATGAATTTCCCTAATTCATTCAAGAGGGACTCTCTTTGTTAAAATAGTGGATAATCTATATCAGGGTAACACAAATCAACTGATTTTCCCTAGTGTTTTTAATTAGTGAGAACTTCCTCTATCACCACCACCTGATTTTTCCAGTATTTACTGACCCTTCATCAGTTAAGGTACACAGAATATTACTTACATGTTTATTTGCTTTGTGGCTCTAAACATTTTAAAAAGTGCTTGGAAAAAGAGAGAGAGAACAGGGCAACATCTTTGGAGTTGAAATGTGTTCATCTGCTCTTTGAAACAACCACAAGAGGGTTTTTCCCCTAGTTCAAGCCTCTACATACATAACAATCCCTCAAGCCCAAAAGAATGGAACAAACCATGAAAACAAAACATCTAGGAATCTATGCTCTAAACTTAGCCCATTCCATTTCCTGCTAAAGTAGAACTTCTCCCGCTACTGTCAGCCCTTCAGGGTCAGCATACAGCAGCACCCTGCCTAGTTTCTTCTGGAAACTTCCCATTGTCCAACCCCCAGAGTGGCCAGCACTCACCAAGGCAGGTTCTGTCCTGCTGTGTGGTTAATGAAGCTGGTGAGCTGGCAGCTTCCTCCTGGTTGCCATGAGAACGACCAGGGCCACTGGCCCTCTGAAAACGGAAAAGAACAGCAAGTGCAAGACCACACATTCCATCCTGCCTTGCAGATTAAAACAGCTGTCAAGCCGGAGTGAAGAGTCAGACAGAGGTCTACAGAGTGGAAAAGTGAGCCTCACGGTAGAACTCTGAGATGTAAGTACTTGGTCTCTTCTTTTTTGAAAAGCATGCCTAGCCGGGCAGACAGGTTTTCGTAGCTTCAGAATTTCTGCTGGCTGGCAGGCAAGTTCTGTGACCACGTGAACAGCCACGGTGGGCGCCCCTTCTTCTCACAGAAATTACATTCCCTGAACAAAATGTACACTTAATGGGTGACTTTCACCATGAAACGATTTTGTTTAGGCTTCTAGGCACATGAATTGTTCTTTACTGACATTCTGCCTTTAAAAAGAAATGTTTTCAGTGTCTTCAGCAAAGAGTGAAATGGTCTTCTCATTTAGTCTCTAAGCAGATAAACTCATGTAGGCTAATATTATACAACAGATAATCTCCGTGGAACCTGGGCTTGTTTCTATTTAAAATATTTGGCTCTATTTCCCAGTCCATCTTCAATGCAAAGTCATAATTACACACAAGAGATGACCTCTTTGCCTTATCGTGATCCCACGGAAAACTGGGAACTTTCAAAACATCAGCTGATATTGTTCCTTTGCTCTGTTTTTATCTAACAGCATTACATTTATTGCTTTTTTACACATTGCTCAATGGAAAACATGGAAAGATAAGAAGAATGTTTAGATGAGCTTTACTCATGGATTGGTAAACTTGGTAAAAAATATGTCCCTTTATTTAAAAGTGAAAAAATACGATAAGTACTATAGTCAAAGGCAAGAGGATGGGGATTTTTTAGTCAAAACTAGGCGTCCTTACACAGTTCTGCATAAATGTTATTGTTTAATAAGCATTTTTTGGACAGTTTTTTTTTTATTTTAGCAGTAAGTGTGTTGGCATGAACTGAGTAGAGGAAATGTTTCAGAAGAGTTGTACATAATACTCTGTAAAAACCTGTTTTTAAAAACTACCAAAAATATCCAGCCTCATGTGTTTGAAAAATTTTTTAATGAAAACAGGGATCTTTGGGAAGTTTTTAACTTTTATCTTTGGACCAAATAATGCCATATGTTTGAAAGAAAAGATATTTTCATTAAAAAAATTTTTACAGAAACTGGGTATTTTCTGAAAATAATAGGTTCAATAAAGTATTTATGGAAAAGAGTGCTTTTTCACAGCTGACGGATTTCCCAATTTTCTCTTCCATACTAGCATTTGTATTGCTTAAAGCTAGTACACAATCAACTTTTTAAATTCAGTGTCCAGTAGATCACGTCTCTGTGTTAGTGGGGAGAACAGATAAGCCACATGGCTCATGGGTGTATGATCGAGAGCACAGACATGCGTGTATGTGCCAGGCTGGAGGGTTTGAACCCCAGTGTTCTGATCAGCTGAACATAGACCAAGTCCTTCAAGGGAAAGTCTTGAGGAGTTTACAGTCATTGGGGAACAAATTCTCACAACGCCGTGTGTCAAAGAGAGAAGGCAGTAGCTACATATTTTAGTTAAGCCTTCCCATTGGCTCACTCCCCAAGTTAATCTGCGTCCTACATGCAGAAGCAGCATTCAACTGATGTCCTTATTTTCAAATCCAATTTCTAAATATTCTTTTTTTATTAAGATTTTACTTATTTATCTGACAGAGAAAGCACGTGAGCACACAAGCAGGGGGAGCAGCAGTGGGACAGGCAGAAGCAGATTCCCTGCAGAAGGAAGCCCTGCGTGGGGCTGATCCCATGGTCCTAGGATCATGACCTGAGTCAAAGGCAGACCCTTAACCGACTGAGCCACTCAGGCGCCCCTAAATGTTCATTTCTAAAAGTGTTTCTGAAATGTTTATGTCTGCTGGAACTCATTTCATTTTGTTTCCTATTCCTCTAACATGAGGTTGCTATACACCCTTTATGTCAAAGGGCACAGAATCGAGTGATAAAATGTGAGGTATTAGAGTAGGAACATGAGTCTGGACTGGAAAATAACACTGTAATTTCCACCACGACTCCCTAGAACATACTTGGCTACCTGAGTTTAAATCTTAGCCCTGTCTTTCAGGCTCTGTGACCTTGGGAAAGCTATTTAACCTCTGTGTTTCTCCATCTTCTGATATTAAAAATGGGCTCAAAATATCTACCTTTACTATGACTGCAAGGATTAAATTATATAAAACATGTAAAAGTATTTTGAAGAGTACCTGGTACAAAGAAACACTTATTAACTGTTATTAATCAATAAAGCATATGCATTGTTCCTAATTTCAGTCAACTTTCAACACCACGTATCTCCCACACCTCTTATTTGGAAGTACGTTGTCTGTTATCGGTGTTTCTATATTTAGCTGGTTTAGTCCTGGGAACACAAGGCTGAGGAGCTGTAAGTGTTGATGCAATACAATGTTGATACAATAACATGTCTTCTCTACCCAGCAGCCTGAACTCTCCTGGGAATCAAGAGTTGTGTATATGGCAAGTTAGGTTTGAGGTGCCTTGGATATTTTGTCAAGTTGAGCTATCAAGTAAGATGCTGGATACACGAGCATGAAGCTCAGGGAAGAGTGTGGGAGCAGGTTCATCATCAGCAGACAGACAATATTGTGAAGTCCATATGTTAACATGCAGTCAACAAAAGAATGGATGTACAAAACCAAAAAAACCCACTTATTTTAGGGTCATTTTAGTGTTAGAAAAATTGTGAAGATGGCACAGAGACTCCCACTGGACCCACGCTCCGTCTCCCCTATTGTTACGTCTCACGTATGTATGCTACATACATTTGTCACCATTAATGAACAGATATCAGTACATTATTATTATTATTAATGTCCACATTTTATTCGGATTTCCTTAGAATGTCCTATTTCTGTTCCAGAATCCCACATTACCTTTAGTCATCATTCCCAGGAGGCATTTAAAGACACAAGCCTTTCAAGAAAGCAACAAGGTTTGGGGCGCCTGGGTGGCTCAGTCAGTTGAGTGACTGACTCTAGTTTTCTGCTCCGGTCGTGATCTCAGGGTCATGGGATCAAGTCCTGCGTCCGGCTCCACACTCAGCACAGTCAGCTTAGGATTCTCTCTCTCTCTCCTAAAATAAATAAATCTTTTTTTTTTTTTTTAAAGAAAGCAGCAAGGTTTAAATTGCTTTCGGTCCCAATATTTGTAACTAAAACCACTAAAGGAAAAGCTAATTCTTACTATTCTAAAATCGAATCGTTGGAATAGTTGAATACAAATGAAAGGAAACAGCTTCAGTCTTACATCGTGGGGATATAGTTCAATGTACTTTATGGAACTGTAATAATGTACAACACTAGGCAGAAGATCTTACTCCCTTTTTATTGTTCTGGAAGCAGGTAATTAAAATAGTAAAGGTTTACAAGACTTTTTTCTTTTTTTTTCCTCTCATCTCTTAGCAAAGGGATTACTCTGACTCATTTTCCTTGGCAACCTCATGCTCATGTAATACAGGCCCAGTAATTGGAGTAAAGCTGTTCCAGGCTAGTTTGACAAAACCAGATGCTTCATTGTTCAATTGTGGGGAAGTCTGCGATGTGGGCTATTATAATCCCTCAACTGAGAGCAATTAGGGCGATGGCTTCTAATGCTCACAAATACCTATGAGATCAACATTTCCTAACTCTGCTCACTCTTCCTGGAAGGCCTGGGTGGATGTGTGTAGGGAGGTGGAATGACAGGGATCTGGGGCTCTGACTTGGGCTCCTGGTCCCCATTCCAAGTGAGCGTGTTTTGCTTTGTGTCCCCAACAGTTACAGGAAAGTTCCAAGGCAACTGCAAACCTAAATGGTCCTCAATGGCAAAGCCAAAGAGGTTGGCTTTGGGATTTTTGCAGATGTCACTCAATGGCTTCCAGGGGGACCCACAGGCATAGGAGAGCAGTCACCAGGGGCATCCCCAGTCTGTCCTCCTGGAAGGGCCAAATGGTGCTGCCTGCTCCTCCTTCCTCATTGTGCTGGAGCTGTCCTGCACTCAGTGCAGAAGTGGGGAGAATGGCTCTGTCCCCAGTTCACTGTCACACTTTGTCACCCAGAGAGGGACCATTTGTGCCCCACCTCTCAGAGTTCTTGAGAGACATCCAGGCAGCCTCTGCCTCCAGCTCCACTGGACTCAGCCCAAGGTATTAATTAGTCTGGGCTGAGAAGAAACAGGTGCCATCCTGCCCTTCCACTCATCCCTGCCCTAGGCCTTCACACATCATCTTCACGTTTCCTTCTTTCTTCCTTGACAGTTCCACACATGCAAATAACCGCTGGCCACAGGCCCCCCTCTGAATTCATGAGACGGGTCCAGATGCATCTGTTTAGGCTGGACTGGGCCCAACACAGCATGACTACTCTGGACAGTTTTGAGCCTGGTATTTCTGAAAACAAATAATGGAGCTGAAGATCTAGTTACCCCCAAAACTTGTCAGTAATCCAGGCTAGTGAGAGGGGTAAGACATGAGAAATACCTAGCAAGTGCTGCAGGGCTGTAAACAGAGTTACCTGTGCATTTGGTCTGAAGGGTGATTGGATCCAGGTGTTTTGTTGCTTCCTTAAACCTCTTAGATTCCTATCACTACATAACACATGTCTATAAACGTGGTGACTTAAAACAAAAGAAATTCATTCTCTTCCATTTCTGGAAGTCAAAGTCCAAAAGGAGTCTGTGCTAAAGTCAATGTGTCAATACGGCTGATTCCTTCTGGAGCTCCAGGGGAGAATCCGTTCCTTGTGTCTTTCAGCTTCTGGAAGTGGCTGGGCTGGCATTCCTCTGCTTATAGCCATATCACTCTGATCCCTACTTCTATGGTCACATTGCCTTTTTTCTTTCTGTCTCCTCCTGTTTTCCTCTTAGAAGACCCTTGTGATGACACAGGGCTCACCCAGATAATCCTGGATCTCCCCATCTCAAGGTCATTAACTTCATCTGCTCTGCAAAGTGCCTCTTGCTCTACAAAACAGCATTTACAGGTACTAGGGATTAGGACATGTACATCCAGTGGCCCTTATTCACCCTTCCCACTCCCTCCCCTGGCCCCCCACAGTATCTAGCAGGGATAAGAAGAGACCAGGAAGAACGTGTCTTGATCAT